CTTAACAACCTTTCCTGATTGGACGCCTCCTACCATATTCCCCAAGGCTGCATCTGACCATCTCCAGCACCAACTTTGCTTCCTGGATCCCAAGAAGGAATGCCAGAAGGAGTTTCTAGAATCCTGTTTCGTCTGCTAAGCTTCTGGCCTGAAGAAAATATTTCCCGAAGAACCAACTCTTACACCTTTCTCATTCGAGAAAATGGGAGTAAAAGTCCTACCAGTTCTCTGCAGATCATGAGAAAGATGAACTTGCTTGCTCCTTTCTTTTGACTGGAATCCTTAAGGGCCATGGCCTCTTGAGATGATTAACCCTGGCATCTATCTACAAGCCTATGATCTCTCGTGCATTGTTTAAGGAGGCACAGAGCACAGAGGTTGGCAAGCAGGAATCTCCGTGAGTTGGTGCAGGGACAACATGACTTTGCTGCTGTAACTCTCCCCCCATCCTACCTTCCCTCATACCCTCAACCATCTCTGAGGATTTCCTTAAGATAAACTGTGACTTTGTCCTTACAGTGCATCCTCCATTCTTAAACCTGGCAAATGGATTTGCCTTGGTGATGGCATTTTACCATGATTGCAGTTGACTTCCAAAGTGATTCATACAAGTTGAAACTAGGATGAACCTTAAAGTCCAGCCTCTCTCAGGGAAGGAATCACGGTCTTTGCCAGAGACTGTGACCTGTTCACCAAAATCAACAGCCCTCTTAATACTGGGAACAAAAGTAGACCATCCCTCTAGCCCCCCTGCTCTTAGTGTGGCCATAGACTAAACTTTTTCTCCAGTGCAAAGTGAGAGAAAGTGACACATTCACAACTCCCAGACATACTCCTCTAAGCTCTTTTCCCTTTCCAGTTGGGACCATCACCCCCAACAAGACCTTGAGAGCCAAGTGTTGGACAAAGAATGACAGTCAGCCTGGATCCCTGCAAGACTAACTGGAAGAGAGAAACTCTATTCATCCCTGACCCCTCTACAAGTGTGGTTTATTAAAAACACTTTACTGGAGTCAGGAGATCCTGCATTTAATGCTTTATGTGTGCCACAGTTTCCTCACCTATAAAGCAAGGACAAAATCCTTATCTTACAGGTTTTTGAGCAAGTAATACGAGATACTGAATGATGTCCACTCACCATATTGACTGGCACTCAGCAGACGGTCAAGAAATCTTGATTGAATAAATATCTTTGTTCCTTGAAGGTTGTTGTAACATATCGATGAAATAATTATTTTGGAAAGAGGTATCAACATGAAAAAGCTAACTAACTGATGGAAGTGAGAAGATGCTATCTTAACCCCTTCCTCCCTCTCATCTTAGAAGCTTGAACAATTTGTGCCACTCTTCATTTGTCCAGGGTAATGGAAGAAGGCTATCGGGGTTGTAATGAAATGGAATTTCATAAATGGAGTGGCATCCATTTAATTTCAAGCTCCTGAACAACAAACTAACCAATTTGGTTTCCTAACCAATGGCCAGGAACCTACAGTCTCCTGGATTGGTATTTACATGAAGCAGCTGCCATAGTAAGGACAGTAGGGAGACGATGCTCTCGTACTGTAGGTGTTTATAAAAACTTGGATGATTTGTCTAGGTAGGTGATCTTTAAGATCTCATACAACCCTAAGCTCTGTTACCTTAAAGAAAATAAAGTTTTAGTTTCATCCTTTCTTGATGCCTGTGCCTTCCACATACATTACCTGGGGAAAGACAGACTAGAAAGAAAATCCCCCCAAAAAGCACAAAATAGGAAAGATAAAGAGATGTAGCAACCTGCCATCCATGAATAATTCATATTTAAGCATCTTTGCTTGATATGAGGGAGAAAATTAAGTCATTTTTAACCCAGCAATATGTCCTTTTTGGGATACCCTGGGTTCATTTTGCATGTGGTTGGGTAAACTATGACTCCATCATCTTTGTACACATCTGTATGCATTTATTCTTTCTCTTTTAAATATAGCATCTTTTCTTCAAAAGACTTCGTATATCATTAATGAATAGTCTGTGAAGCCAGATAGGCCAGAATCTTAATCCAAAGTGAGTTATTTAAACTTTCGATCATCTGTTTTTTACTGTAAATTGGGGTTAAATATATACCACATAGAGATGTATTGAGAATTATCATTAGAAATCATTGATCCAGGGGCTGGCAAGTTGGCTCAATTGGTTAGAGCACGGTGTTAGAACACCAAAGTCAAGGGTTTGATTCTTGTACCAGCCAGCTGCAGAAAAAAAAGAAAAAGAAAAAGAAAAAAAATAAAACATTGATGCAAGGGGCTGGTATGTACTAAATGCTCAGATCCAGCTCCTCCTTCCTCCTGCTAAAATGTGCAAGGTCCAGTTAGTGGGGCTGCACTCCATGCTGGTGACTGGGAACGCCTGTGCTGCCTACAACCACTGTAGGGGACACAGGTGGGTACATGAGCAGCAGCAGGGCTCAATTCTGCTGAAAAAGAGACTGCCAGTCCTGAAAAAATCCGGGTTATGCCTGCAGAATATAGAAACCTCAAAAGATGACCAAAGTTCTGAGGAAGCTATTTTTAAATGGTCGCCTACTGAGAGACAAGCTTTCTGGGAAGGTTTATTTCAGGCCCATTGTAGCCTTCCACCTGATCGCCTGCATTCCTTTTGGCATTTATCCCCATCTGCTGGTACAATATGAAAGACACTCCTTCCAGAGACCCAGACAGCACTGGCAGACTTCAGGCTCCAGCACCGTGCAGGGGGTTCAGGCCAGCACTGAAATCCAAGAGGAAGAGTAAATTTCTGTAACCGAGGAGAAACAGGCCTTCTTATTAAAGAAGGGGAGTGTTGTTTTTAATTTCAACACAAATTGCTTAGTTGTTTCTTCTCAAGTCAGCTTCTCTTTAAGTGAAATTCTGGTTGGAGACCTAGAGAGTGTAACAATTCACTCCCCACCAAGGGCTTAAAACATCCACCATTCTTTAATTTGCTCCTCAGTCTGTTATTTGGACAGGGCTCAGCAGAACTGCTTGTCTATTCTGGGCAGCATCAGCTGAGACAGCTTGAAGGGTAGAAAGGGGTGACTCAACAGCTGGGGGCTGGAATCGTCTGAAGGCTTCGTGCTCTTACGCGTCTAACCATTGATGCTGGCATTGGCTGGGACCTCTATCAAGGCTGTTGGCTGAACACCTGCACTCAGCTTCCCTTTGTGGCCTCTTGGCTCCACTAAATCATGGTAACTGGGTTCTAGCAGGGAGGGATCAGGTGGACTGGGCATATTATACTTCATGACCTAAACTTGGAAGTCACTTAGCATTACTTCCACCCTTGTCACAAGTCCCCCCAGATTCATAGGAAAGGGACGTAGGCCCCTCCCCTCAGTGGGAGGAGTATCAGCATCACACTGTAAGAAAGAGGACCCTGGTGTATAACAGTTTGCCACAGGGAGGAACTGGCGAAGGAACTGAGGCATGGGCTGCTTGTTTGAGATTAAGGAAAGTCAGGCCGGTATTCTTTTACTTAGTTTTCAAAAACTGAAATAATTGGGGTGGGCGGGGGGAGAAATGGCAATGTAATAGAAAACAGAAATAGAATTTTCTTCAAAAAAATATTCCCTTTATTTGGGACATGCTGTAAAATGAAAAACCTAAACTGTTTTTATATCATGGAATAAAGTTTTGCTTAGAAAGGCATTCCCTACGTCAAGATTATTCATCCATGATGTCTAGTATTTCTATTATTTAATTTTTGATACATTTGGAAATTATTTTTATGAAAGGAGGGAGGTGGGGGTTCAGACTGATTTTTTTCCAAATGATTAACCAGTTGGAACACCTATTTACTAAATAATCTTTTCCTCATTGATTTGAAATTTTACTTTATTATATATACTAAATTGCTATATACTGTGGGGTATACTTCTGCACTCAATATATTTATCTTCCTTCTTATCCTACCAAGATAATCTTCCAGCCCATGAGCTCTGGAGCTAGACAGAGCTGGGATAAACTCAGAAGCAGCTTAGCCATGGCCTGCTTGAACTCTTTAAGGCTCAATTTTCTTCTCTACAAATTGGTGATAATTCTACATCCTCACTGGGTTTTTTCAAGATTAAATGACTTAACATGTTGTGCAAATTGTTTGGCATGATTCCCAACCCCTTGAGCAGGCTGGGCTCTCTGGAAGCCGACTCTGAGATGGAGATTCGTGTGCAGGATGTTTATTAGGGAGTTCCCTGGAGATCAACAGCTGTGGAAGCGGGGGGAAAGAAGCAGGACTGGGCAGAGGGAAAGATGAGCACAGTATGACCTCACCCAGCCTCACTGGGAGCTCTGGAGCTCAGACAGCCCTTCAGCATTGTCTCGAGCTGGATGGGACTTTCTTCGCCCACATCGATCAGTTGTTGCATGGGGGCCACATGGCAATGGCATGGCCTTGTGGGAGGTAGCTCTTGGTAGTGGAGGCAGTCCCCAAAGTAGCTGGCAGCTAGAGTGCACTCTCAGAGCCAGGTGGCCAACAAAGACTTTGTTCAAGAGAGATTTTGGTTGCACATCACAGTGTTCACCATGGCACCTCATTGGATTTTCCCTCCTCCTTGTCTGCAACCCTTTGAGTGAAGAGCAGATCAGCAAAGCTTCATGCTAAAAGGCTCCTTGTCTGAGGCCTGCAGGTATGTTGAAATTTCAATACTTTATGCATCACAAAGGCATGGAGAAGACACTGAAGAGGTAGAGCGTTGCGTGCAACGGAGGAAGGCAAGGCAGTACAGTCTAGATGAGATGAGCCGGGCCAGGATTTGACAAACCCAAAGCTTTTATCTTAGGTTAAAACACGTTTCTTTTGATAACTTTTTTTGTTCAGTTCTAGATCAAAAAAAAAAAAAAACTCTAACGGGGAATGTGAATATGATAAACAGGTTATGGAATGATCCCATGATTACAAGGAATCATCTTAGACAAGTATTCGCAGAGATCAAATAAGGTGAGGTCATCAATTTGCTTTTCCTTTTATTATAAAAGTAAAATAAAAAATAGCATTTATAAATCCAACATTTTTTCCTTTGAAGTATTTGATCTAAAAAACATATTTACAATAGCAAAATGCAGAAAAGGGGGGAAATACCATTTTCAGCACTGATTGTAATTATGTTTAAATATTGACAAGTACATGTTTTTTATTTTTCAAATCACAGAGAAAAAGCAATAAGCCTTTTTTATTGCACGCAAAGTACTATCATTTTAAAAAATCCCTTTTCTTAATCTTTAATGTGAATATCTAGCCATGCTGTGGACGGCTAGAAAGAATACCAGGTGGGGACAGTGATAACTTTTAATGATGGTGGGAAACGGCAGAGGGACGGCAGCAATGACAACAGAAAGCAGCTGTAATCCAGGAGCAGCCGGTAAAGCTCAATAGTCTACCTCACCCTCAACGATGCACCAGCTCAGCTGAGCGCTGTGATCGCTAGATACTATCTGTAGGTAAACCAAGCTAAAATTTATTTAAGAACCAAGAAAGGAAGCCAAATTTAAAAGGCCTTGGATTAAATCAAGAATGATTCAGGCGGCCAGTTTTCTTCTGAGCACCTTTGGATGCACTTTACCTTCCTTCCTTTGGACAATGCACTGGAATTTTAGCGCTCTGGTTTACGTTGCGTGGGAACTCGCCAGCGGGCTAAATTTTGCCTTCTATAGGTCCTTCCTGCCTGTAGTCATGGGACATTTTGTTAAGAGTTAGCAATGAGCTGCCGCTGGTCAGAGACTCTGTAAAGCTGAGTTTGTGGAAGGATGTCTCCACGCCACTGTCACAGATGCTGTCGTTGTCTTGAAGCTCATCTGAGGGGAGAAAACATGAATTCATGGGGGGCACCGCCAGGACCGAGGCAAAGGCATTACTCTCATACACCTAACACTACAGAGGGGCTCCCAGTTTGGCTCCAAAGGCTCATGGACTCCTGTGTGGACGACTCCTGCCCACTGGCTTCCACCAGCCACTGCATGCCACCCGCCTGCCCCTGCTCCTCAGTACTGCCTACAGGGATGTGAGGGCAGAAAATACCACGTATCACGCAAACTGTAAAGACATCAGAATTAGCCACGTTTGCACATCTTTCTCTTGCACGCTAGTCTTGCGTTTATTGGAAACTTTTCTGAATTCTCTTGACTCAAGGTGCACCTTTCATTCTTAGAAATCAGGTGTACTTTTCCAACCACTGTATTACTATTTCATAGCCAGGGAAATTGCTGAACCTAAGCAAAATAAATTGGTAACCAAAGTAGGAACTAAAAATGAGGTATCTCTCTGGGCCTCATATGCTATTAAACAGTATACAGTGCCTCAAAAACATTTTTGGTAGCAAAAAGTAAAGTGATTTTGATGAAAATGAGCCTCTACTGGAAAATGAGGTTCAATTCTCTTTGTTGAGAAGTATCCTTAGGGATCTGACCAATGTGAATTATTTGCTATATAAAGACAACAACCAAAGAAACAGAAGCCTAATATACACTAAACAAAATGCTATCTTCTTATGTATCAAAATCCAATATTAGAATATTAAGACTTTAGTAGCAGTGGCATAGCTACTGTCTTGGTATTGATTGATTTCCTCAATCACCCAATCTTTATTGGGTGCCTATTGAATGCTAGAAACTGTGAGGTATTTTAAAAATAACTGCAAGTTAAGGGTTTAATGCTTAAGTTTTTGCTTTTTAAATATATAAATATTCACTTTTTTCTTTGAGTATTTATGTAGAAGGAGCCCTGGGTCATGAGACAGGAGATCTGGGTTGTTTTCCTGGTAGATACATTATTCCTTTCTAAAGTGTGCAAAATGACACTTGTTCTTACTCCCCTACCAAAGCCCGCCTGACAAGGTGACATTGGCACTGAAACTGAGTGGCAGGAAGGAGCCAGCCAGGTGAGGAGCTTTCCAGGGAAGGGGAAGAAGAGGGTCCAAGGCCTTAGGGCCAGATGAGACTACTGACCTAGGGGAACAGCGGGAACACTTGGGAGCAGGAGGGGAGCAGGGAGACAGGAAGAGTGTATCTAAGCAATGTTTAAAAACAGCAAATGGGTAAAGCAGGGACATGGCCTTATCTTCAAATCCTCAAACAATGCTAAGCTCACAGTATGTGTTCGATAAGGACTTTTTGAATGGATGAAAGAACTGTAGGGCATACAACAGGAGTAACATCACCTCACTGATGAGGAGCTGCTGCGGGAATCTGGCAGGAAATGAGTGGACTGGACTAGGGTGGTTGTCACAGAGAGGAAGAAACTTGAGGGGTTGGATGGCAGACAATTAGGGCCAGCAAGTACTCAGGGGTAATTTGTAGAACTCTGTCTTAACCCCCTGGAGGATGGCAGTGCTTCTGACAGATGTGGCCAATACTGAGGTGAGTGGGGTATTAGGAGTTCTGTGCAGAGAAGTAAGCAGGGCTTAGGATTGGACTCTGAGGGCTGTGACTCTACAAGATGAGCATGGAGGAGGCAGCGAGGTGAGTGTGCCATGGCAAAGCCATGAGTGCAGATGTATGTGACACACGCATGTCGAGAGGATGAGAAGGACGGTGACCAGAGCAGGCATGATTGAGTGGTGGGAGTGGAACCCCAGCTCCAGGGGGTCCAGGAGAGGACAGAAGCCTCACCTTCTGTTCTTTCTAGAGTAGAAAGAACAACTCTAAAAAAATTCTGAGAAGCTTCGCTGTGTAGGGGAACAGAGAAATTGGACTGTAGCTAAAGGGGATGTTGGATCAAGAGAGTGATTTTTTTGTTTCGTTTTTAGAGATGAGGAAATTACAGCTTGCTTGCTAGGTGATCCAGTCAGGAAGGAGGAACTACTAATGCAGGACAGAAAGAGGCAAAAATTACAGGAGCAAGGACCTGGGGAAGGGACGGGTGTGGACCCAGGAGAGTGGCTGCTCTTCAGCTGGGCACAGACATTTAGCCCACTGAGCCCGGATGGAAGGCTGCCAATGTGGGCACAGGCACAGGTAGGCCAGCAGACTTGATGGTGCAAAGATGACAGGGTTCTAGTTGCTTCTATTTCTTCAATGGAGTGTGAGGCAAAGGTACTGGATGAGAGGGAAGGGGTGTTGAGCATTTGGAAAGAGAAAGCATGCAATGGTTGTTTAGAGAGTGGGAGAAAATTGTAAAAAATTATAAAGTTATAGAGAAATGTAGGATTATTGAGCTGTGTTGAAAGTCCATTCCCTATGGTTATGTTTTTTTTGGTGGGATGACAGATGGCACCATTAATTGTGGGAGACAAGGTCAGTGTCATGGGCATGGGAGAGGAGGTTGAAGGAAGAAGGAGATCACTGGAGGGGGGCAAGTGGAAGAACTGAGGGTGGTATGGTGGGAAAAATCACAGCATCAGTCTCTCATCTGGATGCTAGCCTTGGTTCTACAAACCTTGTGCTGTGCATTTTTCTCGCTTTGTATCTCTTTCTCTCTTTAAACTTAAGAAATGAGAGAAATAATGTTACCTTAACTATGCACATCATGTTGTTTTTAGGTATTTATTGAGAATCGAAGTAACTCATGTGTCCATGTGACTGTCCATGGGAATAGTCTCCTCGTTTGAATGGTAAAGTCAGGAGGGGCAGAGGGTGAGCCCCAGGGTAGACAGACACACAGGAAAGTATATTCAGGACATGATGGGGGGAAGGGAACTGCCATGCCGTATCCCAAGAGAACTGAAGACACCAGCCTGGGGGAGCAGGGAATACCTCTACTGCTTTTCCTGTCTTTTTTTCTTTACCTATTTGCTGCCGTGTGGAGGAAGGCGAGAGAGGCAGCGAGCGGGCCTGAGAGGTGGTCTTCACTGGGCTGGAGGCTGCGGTTGCTGAGGTGCAGAAGGCCGCCTGGATCACTTCGATCGCTTCGGTGTAGCCCATCTGGCTCAGGGCCTCCACCAGCTCTTTGACTGTACCCCCCGAGACCTGCGGGAAAGAAACGAAGGGCGAGAGTGTTCTTGTGTTCAAGACCCTGTGAAGCTGTAGACACCGACACCCCATCTCTTCCCTCTTCCCTTCCCTCTTCCATGCTGTCTCTTCCACTCAGAGAGAGCCAGGTGCTCCCGGGACGGGCAGAAAGAAGAGCAACTAAGAAAGTAGTCTTTGAATCAAGTTTCCTATATCCACTCAAAGACAGCTCAGGAAATCACAGAGAATGATGAGTGAAATGCTGAGGCAGAGACTCCGCCTAAAGTGACGTCCATGCAGCACCCCTGTGTAAACTGAGGCTATGAAATCCACTGAGAAACAATAGCTAGCAAGGAAAATTTCAACAGAAAGTAACTTCACCCCATGGTTTTCTACCTGTTATGTTTAGAAATGAAAGCACCATCTCACAGAATGCCGACTCCTTGTCCTGACACAGATCAAGGCTTATTCTTGGGGACAGGAAGATATGCATGTTGAATACAGTCTGTTGTGTCTATTCAGAGGGATCAAAGTTCTGTGACCCTCTAAGTAGCATTTTGACAGGTAGTCCCCAGGTATTTGAAAACAGGGAAAATCTCAAGGTCTCTGAAAACAGCATTTTCAGGAAGGTGGTTGTCCATCCTGGCCTGGGTCACCCTACCAGACTCTGGGCAATGGCTGATTTTCTTCCTCAGATCTAAGGAACAGGGTAGGGGATTATGCACTGGCCAGTGGTGTTAAGAGAGTAAAGTCAAATAAAAGTGGATAAATATGAAGTTTTACCTCATAGTTGTCCATAAGAGTCTTGGAGGGAGCAGGACTCAGCCGGAAGGCATTATTAAGTATCCCCAGACCTAATTTCTGTGCCAGAGTAGCCCAGTTTTTGTCTGGATCAGGGATTTCTAGCAACTTGTAGAGCTGCAACTTTGCATCTTCGGTCAGCTGTTTCATGTCTCCTGAAGGATATGAAGGAGAAACACGGTTGTCTCACCCTATGATCTGGAGGGACTGGTCACTGCCACCTTGCTGGCCCTCCAACTCCTGGTTGAAGCAACCTAGCTACTCTACTTGAAAGTCGGCAGAAGCCCCGCTGAGTAACAGCAGTATATTCACAGTAGATTAAAACTGGATATTGTCCTTTACATACCTCTGGGATCTTTTGATTCTGAAATAAGAACTTTGCCTTTCACAGTACACTCTGGATAATGCTGATTCTCCTTCCCCTTTAAACGATATCATGGAGATAATACTGGTTAAGAGAATCTGGTTCCACCACAACCCACCTTGTGCCAGTAAATCATCAGATGTAAACTCTGGCTCATATGGTTTCCCATTTAATATGTCAAACACCTGTTGGGAAGAAAAATATAGGAAAACATTACACACTGAAGAGTACACTGGGAAATCTGTCTCTATTCTGAAGAACTCAGCATGTCCTTCTTAGGAGGGCCCAGCACCCTAAAGGTGGAAGAACAGATTTGGGGGCTTTGGGCTGGGAGGTGTGCTCTGCAGGAACTGAGAGTGGGCAGGAGAACTTAAGATACCCTCACACAGTCAGAGCCATGACCCTTCTAAGGGACAGAGGCAGTCCAGGCCACCAAGCCAGCCACCACTTGGTCAGAGAGCTGGGTCAGCACTGAGCTTACTCAGAGCTGCAAAGCTGTATCCCCTTGCTGTCCCCTCCACCCTAGTAAAAGGCTTATGAGAATGAATTTTATAAGCTTGCTCAAACTGAGATGTATATATGCTCATAAGACTTGGTAGTAGTCTTCTGGCACCATTTATATTTTAACTGAGCTTCCAGAAATGTCTTCGGTTAAAAAACAAACTACGCAGCTATGGAGACCTTTTTGGTGTTCTCTGTAGTGACTCTGTTGCTGGCTGACCTAGGCAAGAACAGCATAGGGTCACTGAAGTGGTTTATCTTTCTGTGCTCTGTGGTGAGGCCTTCTGGGGAAATGAGGTGCTAACATAAAGGGAGAACCATGTGGTCTCTACCAAGGTCACTCAGCTCACCACAAACAGGCTGCAAGAGGCATGAGAGCAGTTCTCAGATGTGGAACAGTACTCACCCCTAAAAAAATCGATTTTGTTGTGTTGGAGATCTGCAGGCTGCCCACCTCCTCCCTCTAGCTGTTCTCCCTGGGCCTAAAAGACCTAGTAACTGCTTTTACTTTCAGATCTCAGTTTAGTGGAGTTTTCAGGGAGGGCTTTCATCTACTCACTGTTTATATTTATTGGAATCCTCAGAAGAATTCCTAGTTGATTTTTATGCTCAGAAATCAACCTAATTTCAAAGCAAACAATAACATTTACCCTAGCTTCAGAAATTGAGATGGTAACAATTCTGGTGTGAGTTCAGAATGGGTCATTCTTACGTGAGTTTTGTGTTTTCTCTTCCTAAGCCGCTCTCACATCTCAACTCTGATCTGATTAGGCTACACTTTTACACTCAGAACTCAGCTGACCTAGATCTTTCATGGATAGGTTTTTCAAGATAAATATGGCTCTTGACAAGCAGACTTTCTTAAAAATAAAAGGCATGTTCTTTGGAGAATAAAGCCCCAGGAAGACCATCTGTTCTCACATTCCTGAACCTCTGGCTTTCTCTGGAGCAGTCATCAGGCAGCCTGAGCAGCACCCACCTGCCAGCTGGTGGCCATATCTAGAGGGGTGGTTCCAGGCACGACTCCTTCATCCTCTCCAGCCTTTTCCCAAGAGTCATCCAGGTCATAGAGAGGCTCAAAGTTCTCCACCAGGGGATCTGCTCCTGCAAAGTCAGGTTACACTGCATTTGGTAAACCCAGATCTTACCAACTTCCAACAGCCGGCAGGGGTCAGATTTCCAGAAGTGAAGCACAGTAGCTGCTAGAGGTGATTACCTGGATAATTTCAAATGCATAAAACATGTTTCTACTGAAATATCCAGAGAACTTCTTTTTAAATTTTAATTTACTTTGACTGTAAAGGTGTCTTACAATACCCTGTATAGCTAAGGACACTATTGAAAACAAAAGACTTTGAATACTCTGACTTTCACATTTAACTCTATAGGATATTTTTTATCTGATGATACATCTTTAATCTGAGGATTAATGGACGGCAGTTTACAGGGACTAGGGTGCATACTCAGGGTTAAGGTCCTAAATGTTCAAATTAATGTCTGCCAATGTGCATTTCTCAGCTTTGTCTCTTGCCTGCTCAAAAGAGCAAAGACACTTGATGTCTAGTGACAGCATGTCAGCTTTATTTCTGGGTACAGCACTGATCCTTAAACAAAAAGCACCAAAATAATTTCTGCAGGTTATGTTGTGTAGTTATACATATGTGTGTGTATATATGCATAGTCAGTGGAAAACTGGGGGCTAATGAATCTTGGGAAATCTAGTCTGTTTTTTAGCTTCCAGCAAGTAACTAGAAGTAACCCAAAGATTAGAGCAAGTTTCTTCTCAAAGGCTCAGAGTCTATTGTTATGACAGAGTGTTTAGCTTGATGTGTAAGCTCCACACACCCTTCTGGGATTAGGAAATTGTTTTTATCTTGCTGGGAGAACATGTGATTTGGGCAAACTTCAGTAGAAGGAGAGTGCCTAATGAGAGCCAAAGAAGGATCTTCATGCTGTTTCTTGATTTCAGTCTCCCACTGTTGGCCTGATCTATGAGGCAGTAAGTGTAACCTAACCATGAAAACAGTGGAGAGACTAAGATGAACAATTTGCAGGACTGAAGACTGGAGGGGCTAAGCTATATATGTTCCTTAAGTGACATGCTTCATGACTTAGAGCTCAGGACTAGGTTTTCCATCTAAGTTGTTTCACTTATATATAAGAGAAACTATAACTTGCTACTCCCTTCACAAGATTCTAAGAATTCTAAGAATTTGAAAGTTATAACTTCTTGTCTGAAGGCATTTCTGAATTATAACCAGTGACTTCCAAAACTATTCACACACACTGCATTCACAGTCACTCGTTTTAGGAAAAGTTCAATTTGACAAAGGAGAGAAAGAAAAGGCTGCTGCTTATTTGGGATATGATTTTACTTGTCAGAAAAACATGGTATCCCCAAAGAAAAAGTTCCTGTATCTTTAACATGGTACTTTAACCTGCTCTGTTTTCTTGAATTTGTGATGCATTTACCTTCTAAAATTTTTTTTTTCCTTTTTGTCTTTTTTTACTGACCGGTAACGGGATCGCAACCCTCAGTGTCGCGCCCGTACCGGGGACTGGCAACGGGATCGCAACCCTCGGTGCTGCGCCCGCACCGCGCTCAGCCAGTGAGCGGGAACCAGTCTCCACATGGGATCCGAACCCTCAGGGGGAGCACCGCCGCGCTCCCAAGCGGCGCACTCTCCCGTGCACCACCGGGCCGGCCCTAAAAATTTTTTTTAATGACCTCTAAAGTAAATCAGATATGTCAGGGCATACTCTAAGATACTGGTTTTGTTATATATTTTTGAGGTTCTAAATATGCAAGGCACTGGAGATTTGAGGATGAGCAGAAATAATTTTCTATACTTCCCAGGACTAGAGAATAAAGTGGAATAACATCTGCAGATCCATGAGCAGAGTAGAGGAGAGAAAGCGTACAGAGAATAAAGTCTGGGAGTTCAGACTGCGGAGGTATGATTCATAGCTCTGCCACTTACTGCGTCCCTGGCGTGGAACCTGGTAGACTGTTTAGTCCATTTCCTTGGCTATTAGAAGGGAACGATACTAATGGTACTTACCTGCAACTGTTATTGTGGATTAAATGAGATTAAATGAGACAGTGCACAGAGTGCCTAGCACAATGCCTGGTACACAGTAAGGTCAAAAAACAAGAGCAATTTTTAGTGCTGTGCACTGTAACAGTACTCAATATATGGTCCATTTGCTTATTCCTATTACTTCAATTTCTAAGAGACTTTTCTTGCAAAAGGACTTTTTAAAATTATTTCTTAAGTCTTTTTCTTCTGGGAACTTCTGACATGATCTGACACTGGTACTGCTCAGAACTCTATAAGGAATTAACTTCTAAGAATTCTACAAGGAAGTAACCTTACTTTAAGAAGTGACAGTCAATCTAAACAACCAAAACTCAAAACAAACAGATGAACCAGAGAATAAAAACTAACATGACTAGCAGGGTGAAGCCCAGGATTACTAGTCCAAATAGTGCCTTTATAGCAGTTAAAATGGGAATTGCTGTATAATTTTTATTTACCCAAACCTTTCTGCAGCAAGGCTGTGGCTTAAGGAAGGTGACATGGCTGCTCTACTGAAGTTGGGTTTGTATTTCTGAAAATATTTTCCATCAGTGACTGCCAGGCCACCTTACCTGCTGCTTTGAGAAGAGCTGCTAGCCTTGTGGACCCTCTCCCAGCTGCTATATGCAGGGGTGTAGTTCCATCATAGGTGGTACTGTCCACATGGGCATCACCCTGAAATCCAGCCCAACAGAAAGCAGTTAGTGGAAGGTTCTCGTGCCCTTTTGTCCCCACCTTACCCTGTCTGCATGGACACTTGGCTCATATTACTACCCTAGTTGCTACTTTGGGCTGGCTTTGCCATTGAAGAAATCCCCAATTAGAGATTCTGCGCAGGGGGTGGGGGCAATGCCTAAAGTGCTACTCTGAAGCCTTCATACATATTAAATAAATAAAGCTGACTGCAGGGAGAATAGCTGTTACTGACATCATTCTTTGAAAAGATCTCCCTAAATCCCCACTGAGAACTTAATGCAAAGGCAAATAAGTGCATCCTTCACCTCCAGGAGCAGGCAGCCCGCCAAGGAGATGTTGTCGTGCTCCACAGCCAGGTGCAGTGCTGTGCGCCCAGACTTCTGCTCCTGAGCGTTGACATCTGCCCCAGCGGCCACCAGCAGCAGCAGGCATGGCAGGCTATTGTTCATCACGGCTATGTGAATGGCATTAAGACCTAAAGCCCAAGCACAGGGATAGTCATAGGGTGGGAAGGCTGTTCCCAATATGACCCTCGGTGAAGCTGAAGGAAATGGCAAAAACTGGATGATAGGGAGGGAGGTAGTCAGGTTTCAATACTACTAGTACTGCAAGAGTCTCTACTCAAGATATTTTTAAGAGCACTATAAGTCTATTGTTCTGCCTTTAAACTCCACAGTCTCCTATTATGTTCTCAGGAGACATGGAGGGTAAATAAATATTCTCTGAATAAACAATGTTTTATATACTTCAAGACAATGTTTGCTCAGGCCTCTGCTGTTTCCTTCTACTGCCCAAATACTCCAAGTCATCTTTAAAGGAATTAGCTATGATGAGCAACAGAAAGCAACCACAAGAAATGATGAACTCCAGGTGACTAAGGAAAGCACCTTTGGGTGCAAGTCAAACAACACACATTTATCAAATACATACTAGTTCTTTAGAAAGTGGACAAAGAAGGTTATGCCAATGATGAGATTGTCTCTTACCTTCCCCATTGGGGTGGTCGATAAGTAGTGCTGCCTTTTTGTGCTTGAGTAAGACACTGAGAATCTTATCATGTCCTTCTTTGGCAGCTAGGTGCAAAACAGAGTCACCCAGGCGGTCCAGGAGACTCAGGTCAGCCCCAGTCCTCAGCAAATCCTCCACAACATCTTCCTGCTTAGTGATCACTGCCAAGTGCAAGGGAGTCTGGGAAGTGGGGAAGGGGCAGGAGATACACTGGTCAGCAGTGGGCACTTATAACCCACAGCTTGGTAGCTGTCACTGCAATAGGTAGGGTCACACTGCAGGGCCATTTCCCATTCCCAGACGACCTCCTGACCCTTCCTTGCAAGTGAGTTACTCCTTGCTCCATACCACATGCTAATGAAGTATGTATACTAGACTAACATTTAGCCATTAAATAATTAGGGTTATTTTATATTTATAACTCTCAACAGCTTTCTTGTTTCAAACAACAGCCCACTAATTGTTGATATTTTAAATTTAGTTTTCTTGAGTTTCTAGTAGGAAGCTGATAATTCCATATCTTAAATTAAATCAAGGCTATGGTTTTACTCAAGAAATTTAAATGAACTACTCAATAAAAAACCAATTAACAATGGTGCCATCATTTTATACTGACATGGAAAATAAATTTACTAATTTTTTTTCATGTTTATTTATTAATATTATTATTTTTTTACATTCTAAGATTTTGTTTTGGAGCAGTTGGGGGGAGGGGGGAGAGGAAGGGGGAAGGAAATAGGGTGGGAGGAGGACAGAGGGGGCATGGTTGAGGCCCATGGCACTCCCCTCATTCCTGCAGGGTGACCAGGGGTCTTCCAATGGTGGCTTGGTCATTGCTGGGCTGGATGCAGATGACAAGAGGGTGTGGCTGAAGCCCTCGGCCCCCCACTGCCCTGGCTCAGGAAACCAGGGGGCTTCCAGCAGTGACTCGGTAGTCGTTGCTGAGCTGGTTGCTGATGTCAGGGGACTGTGACTGAAGTCCTTGGCTCCCCACTGCCCCAGCTCAGGAGCCTGGGGTGTTTCCGGTGGTGGCTCAATGGTTGTTGCTGGGCTGGTTATGGGTGTCAGGGGGGCACTGCCAAAGCCCGAGGCCCCCCACTGCCCCAGATCAGGAGCCTGGGGCACTTCCTGTGGTGGCTCTGTGGTTGTTGCCGGTCTGGTTGCGGGTGTCAGGGGGAGAAGACAGAGGCCCTCAGCCCCTCACTGCCCCAGCTTGGGAGCACAGGGTGCTTCCTGTGGTGGCTCAGTACTCGTTGCAGGGTTGGTTATGGATGTTGGGGGACATGGCTGAGGCCCTTGGCCATCTCCCTTCCCTGGCTTGGGAGCCCAGAGGCCCTCAGCCCCTCACTGCCCCAGCTTGGGAGCACAGGGTGCTTCCTGTGGTGGCTCAGTACTCGTTGCAGGGTTGGTTATGGATGTTGGGGGACATGGCTGAGGCCCTTGGCCATCTCCCTTCCCTGGCTTGGGAGCCCAGAGGGCTTCCAGTCCTTCTAGGTTTTATAGGTGTTCTTTGGTGATGTGAGACCTTTACTAGTTAATATCACACTTTAGAGCCAGCCCTGTGGCTCACTCGAGAGAGTGTGGTGCTGACGGCGCCAACGCCGCGGGTTTGGATCCTATATAGGGATGGCCGGTTGGCTCACTTGGGAGAGTGTAGTGCAGACAACACCAAGCCAAGGGTTATGATCCCCTTACCCTGGCTTGAAATAAAAAAAAAAATCACACTTTGTCTCTGGTCTGTGAGTACTTCGTTTTTTCTTTCAGTTCTGTGTTGGATTATTTGATGTTCCCACCACTTAAACTCTGCACTGGAACTAATTTGTTGTCCTTTGCTTACTTCTAAAATGGGGGAACTTCCTGTGGGGACCAGTACTTGAGTCCTGGGTTGAGCTAAATTGCTGCTTTGCTGCTGATTCCCTGGGGAAGGCTTTTTGTGCAGCTCAGGGTTTTGTTTTTTTTTTCCTTTTTGTCTTTTTTCGTGTCTGGCAACAGACCGCAACCCTCAGTGTTGCGCCCGTACCGGACCGGGACCGGCAACGGGATCGCAATCCTCAGCGCTGCGCCCGCCCCTAGCTCAGCCAGTGAGCGGGAACCGGTCTGTATGTGGGATCCGAACCCTCGGTGGGAGCGCCACCGCGCTCCCAAGCGGCGCACTGTAGCAGTGGGCCACCGGGCCGGCCCGTAGCTCAGGTTTTAATGTTGACCTTGTATATACTTCTTGGTCTTGTGAGCTCTAGTACACCTGGGTTGTGTAGAAACTCTGGTCTGGGTCTGAGACTTTTCAGTAAACTGCACCCTCTGCAGATCTGTATTCCTGACCAGTCTCCACTGAGTGGTCCTGTGCTAATTGGAGGGCAGATTAGCTGTCCATGCTGTGCACCAATGCTCCCCCAGTAGGTCCAGCTCCCCCACCTCTCACACTCCAAACACTTGGAATGGGATGGTCCATGCGCAGTTCCCTTGCAGTGATTCACTGGCCTCTAAGTGGCTCCTTTTTTCAGTTGTTGTGGCTCCTTGCTCCTGTGTAGGTCCATGAAAACCCTGTTAGTGGTCTTGGTGGCCCCCAGGCCAGCCCTTCTTCTCCCCTGCTGCCTCCAAACAACTTCATATGAAGGGGACAGTTGCAGCTTTTGCCAGCTCTTGCTCCATGTGCTCACCAGCTCCAGGCTTAAAGTGGCCAGGATTCTAAACAGTGGGAATAACCCTTTCTTTCTCTCATTGTGGCTTCTCCTGTCTTTATGAACTCCGTGGGTCTCACCTCCTCTTCTCCTGAGCTCTAGCAGCCCCAGCGTGGCAGTCATGGCTTTTTAATAGTTGTAAGTTGGTTGATTTGTGAGAAAGAGTGATGCTGGGGACTGTCTATTCTGCCCTCTTGACTGTAAGCCCCCTAAATTAACTATATTAAAAAACATTGTTCCATGGACCAGCTCCATAAGACCAATCAATATAACTCTATAAGCCCCCATTTCTTTTTTTTAGATTTATTTTATTTATTGAAACATAATTGATTGTACATATCTGTGGCGTTTTATAAAATATGTTATAGGATTCTAAATTACACACCAGGACAATACAACTGTCTCACTCAGAGGGCAAAGATGAACAAAAAAGCTTTGTGGTGATACGCAATAGATACTTAAATAGTCCATTTGACTCCCCTGCCCACAAAGTAGTACTTCAGAGAATGCAAATGAGATGTTTTGAAAACTTTGTTTTCAAAAATGAGCACAACAAACACAATCACAAAAGAATCTTTCAAAGAACTGAGGTCACTGACAGAAACAGCAATATATTTTTATATAAATCAGTTTATTTCATAGGAGTCTATGAAATCCAGCCTGTCTAATGATGATTTGCTTAAACTTTCCCTTTCAGGGACCAGTGAGTGGCTGTAGCAAAAGCAGCAGGGGGGCCACCCGAACCCTAGCTGGTGTAGTTGGCCAACATACATAAGAACTCATGGGATGGGGCCAGCCCGGTGGCGCACTGCTACAGTGCGCCACTTGGGAGCGCGGCGGCACTCCCGCCGAGGGTTCGGATCCCACATACAGACCGGTTCCTGCTCACTGGCTGAGCGAGGTGCGGGCGCAACGCCGAGGGTTGCGATCCCGTTGCCGGTCCCAGTCCGGTACGGGCGTGACACTGAGGGTTGCGATCCGTTGCCGGACACGAAAAAAAAAAAGAACTCATGGGATGAATGATGCCTGGGCCATTTAAATACCAATTACAGTGTTTATTTAGTATAACAGAAACAAGACAGGATTTTTTGGGCCAGATTATCAGTTTTCCTATTTTTTCATCTTCTAGGACTATAACCCTGGCTTGAAATGGAATAATGCCCTCAAACCTTTAGATGTTGCCAAGAGCCTTCCTCTCAAAAAATAACTAAGTCAATAGAAGCTGTATTTACAGATCTGTGTTTTCTGAAATGCCATTTGGGGAGATGGGAAAAGGAAAGAGAATGAGATTGTAAAAAAGAAGATATGAAATTATAACATATTATAACACTGAGAAATTAGGAATTACCTATAGTTTTAATATAATTTTTTTGCATCACATTGTACAACATCTCTTACCATGAGTAAGAGAGGGTTTTTTTTGTTTGTTTTTGTTTTTTTTTCATTTTTTCCCACAGTTCCACCAAAGGTTTTCTATATTTCAGGCTTCTAGATCTTAAGCCTCAGGCTTATATATTAAACTTGTTAACATGGGGATCCAGGAACCCTCATGTTATGCCTGTTGGCGTGAAGACTTATGCAGACATTCTGGAGAATCAAATAAACAAACGCCTCAGTAACCCAACTCCTGCATATAGATATGAATAAAATTCTGACACAAATTCACAAGGGAACATGGGCAAGGATACTCATCATAGTATTGTCTATTGATGTGGGAAGTTAGAAGCTGGTTAACAAGGACTGGGAAACAATTACATTACAGGTGGAAGAGGCACACTATGGGATTCTCTTCAGGAGTAGAAACAGTAAACTAGCTGTACACATAACTGCATGGACAGATCTTCTAAACAGCAGAAGCAGAAATACAGTGACATGTAACACAAATACCACTTTTTCACTTACAAAATTCATGCAGTAAGAAAAATACAGATACACACGAATGAGTGCATATAAAACTGGAGAAATCTGATTAAGATCTGTAGATTGAATCAGTCAATTTCCTGGTTTTGATTCCATACTACAATTATGCAGGATGTTACCACCGGGGCAGAGTGGGGGAAGGGACCTCCACTTTCCTCCCAATAAATATACTAGGACCTCCTGGTACATGAATCTATAATTGTATCAAATGAAAAATTAAAGAAAAAGGTTAATGCAAGGCAGAAGAAGTTTGTATAATGTAATGTGGATTTTATGTCAGAGTATACTAAAATATCTATGTATTTCAGGTATATGTGTATATGTAGCCAATATCTAGAAAAATACCTACAAACACATAGTTACATTTGGGCAAGGGATGTGTGCACTGCCAGGGAGGGCAACTCTGAATTTCCAATGTATATCCTTCTGTACCACTTTAAAAACTATGAATATATATTATATTTATAAAAATTAAAAACATGAAAGAAAAATATATGCATGAAAAACCCCCAATGTTTTATGGGAACATACACATATAAAACAATCCATATCAAATACAATGTAGAGTGGTTGTCTATGCTGGGTAAAAGAGAATAGAAGAGGAGAAAAAGGTTTAAAGAGAATATTTTCTAAAAAACCCTAACTCTATGCATGGGCTATTTTGAGTGTGTCTCTAGAGGGTAGGTGGGAAGAAGGATTTTATCATGACAGATGGTCACAGAAATGTACTAAAATTAGTGAAAGGTATTTAGGGAGCATGGTTAAGATAATTGCCAAATAATCCAAATTACTTTTTGAACTGTATAATTTTCCATTAAGAATAGTTATCTGAGAACCTCTACAACAGATAAATGAGAGTTCAAATCTTAGCAGTTTCTAGTTCTTAAATCAAAGTTGCCTCTGGGTGTGTGTCTGAGAACAGAAAAGCACACTAGAGAATCCAGAATCCTTGCTCATCAATGGGAGTGGTGAGAAGGTGGGAGAAAATGGACCTCTATCCTCCCAAGAGTCCCCAAATCAGAAGGGACAGAAGTGTCAATAGTGGTGGTTCCAGGGTTTTTGTCTTTATGCCCTGGAGAGTCTCAATATAAGTAACCAACTGACACAGTAAGGAGTTTAGCACATAATAAATCACAGCTACTAATCCTGTTGTGTTGTATCCTTTGCAGATCCTATTTATAAACAGAAAAACAAGTAATTACATGAATCTGACCTATACGCAATGGAATTAAGCAGTCTTTGAAAGGAGAACTGAGAAGCTACAACATCCCATCCTTAGTTTTATTCATACATTTGTGATGTTTAAAAGAAGAATTAGTCCAAAAATTTGAGAGAATCAAACTTTATTGGCCAAATGACTTTCCAAATACCAACAACCTCCCAAAATGATATATTTTAAATATAAATATAAAATCAGGCTTCATCCTAGTTATTTTATATTATGAGTCAGTGAAGAGTCCCTAACTTTATTTTTCCTTTGACATTGAGCACAACAGCCTCAGGAGAAGCCTGACTTATATTGAATGGGAAATGGTTATTTATCTCTTATCAGGAAACACCTATTGAGAGATAAAAATCTATTGAGAGCTACATGTAAACATTTTAGTACTTTTGCTTTAAATGTACTTTTAAAGCACATTTTAAAATGTGGAAATAAAAATAAGAAAATAATTTCCTTTAAAATTAAAGAAAAAATTTTAATTTCCTTTAAGTTATTAAAATTTTTTCTTTAAAATGAGGAAATAATGATTCACACCACCTGTTTTAAAAATTGAGAACTGGAACAGGTACCTTTACTAAGTAAATAATTATACATGATTGTTGGCCATATTTTTGGAGGAGAGATAACCTTGAATCAAATCAAGGTTCTGAGCATACCATCTAGGCCGAGCAGGACCAGGAAGACACTTTGGGTCAGGAAAGGAGAAAGATGGGAAGCTAAGAAGGGGGCAAGACCAGGAGGCTCCTACAGAAGAGTGGTGGGGCGGGGGAAAGGCAGTGAGGTGGGGAAAGCAACCGGGGGAGGGAAGAGGAATGTGCCCTTGACTGTGAAACCCTACCTTGGCCTTGTGCTAGGGCAGTCCCTTAGCCAGAGAGGCTGGTGAAGGTGTCTGGGCCCCAATGCCCAGCATACAGGGTTTGGCTTCTACCCCAGCAGTTTGCACCCTCCTTGCCTCACCCCGAAATCTGCACATGCCCATCAGGTGGCCTCACTGAGTCTCTAGTTAACTTCTTTCTTTGCAGTGTCTGATGACCTCTGTAAGAGAGTTCCTCAAGTTGTTTTTCAGCCCACCTAATTGCTACTTAAACCTGATTTGGGCACCTTTTCTTCCTCAAGCAACCTTTTTACCTTTCTGTGTTCTGATTTCAGCATCCTTTATTTGATGTACATTTAATCTGGATGTTGCCAAAATAAGTGTCAATAGACTTCAAAATTCTTATAAATGATTGGCTTTATAAACTTAATTTTTTTCAACTTTATTTTTCTTGACAGATATGACATTTCTACTCTAGGTTCTTCCTCTAAGATGTCTTTGATTTCTAAAGTTTAAGGTTTGCTTTCTCCCAGCAGGGATACTGATTTCATTGTGGGTAACTGCTATTATACCCACAGATCAAAGGATTCTAATTCATAAAATAGCATACTCAACTAATGGGCTTTTAGGATATTACTTACAAAGAAGTTTTGTTGTATTTTTGCTACTGTTAATATTACTAAAAATAGCACATACCCACTTGTACAAAAAAAACCCAACTATGAGTTTTTCTTCGACTGTCTCCTTGAGATTTTTGCTTACCTGGTAAAGGTCATTTCTCATGTTGATGATGCCATCAAGAACCAAACCAGATGTGACTTCTAGCAGATCCCTCACAAGCTGAGCATGGAGGTGGATGATTGCTAAGTGTAAGACACTGGAATGAAAATATAGTGGCAATAATTAAAGTATTAATGAAAAAGAAAAGATTCCCAAGAACTACAGATTAAATCTGGCTCACATACATAGTTTTATTTGGCCCTAAAATGTTTTGAATCTATAAAATGTCTTGAATCTGAGGTGGGTGCTCTCTCCAGAGGACCCGCCCCTTCCAAATACCCATCCAAGGCTGCTACACTCATTTATGGTGCCTGCTTGGCCTCAGGCAATGATTACTTCTGACTCCTTGCAGTGTAAAAGGCACCCAGGCCTCAATACCAAGGGACCTCAGCTCAAATCCCAGCTCTACCTCTGCCATACAGTACCAGGCATTTTCTCCTCTGCCTTTTCCCTGACTTTCCCTCACATACAGGAGGTGTATATAAAACGAATGCTTGGCTCTAGGAAGTGTTCAGAAAAATTTAGTTACCTCACTTAGCCCTCTTATCTTCCTCCAAAATATAGTGTGGTGGCTTTTTAAAGATCTTCCTAGATCCCAAGAGGGGAGAAGGAAGTCAGGCTTTTAACTATTGGGAGAAAACTGTTGAAACAAACTTCTAAAGATACAAAGTGATTATATTCCCCATCACCCTCCTCACCATGCAGGAAATATTTTCTCTCTGCCTGGAATGGTTTTGCTCCTTTTCTCTGCCTGGGCAAGGTCTACTCCATTCTTTATATTCCAGTTCAAACACTACATCCTCAGAGAACACTTTCCCAACTTCCTAAGCAGAGCAAGTTGTCCCCTCTCAAAATTACTGCTTGGTTATGCAACTGCACTTTTCTATATGTCTTTCTCCTTGTCTGGCCTGTGATCTTCTCCATGGCAGGTTTTATGTGTGAGTCAGCTTGATAGCCCCAGCACACAGTTTAGGCACGAAAATAAGAATGACCAAAGGAACCTCAGGGGCTTCTGCTAACGAGGTAGAAAATATTGGCGGGTGCCCAACATTACCCCTAGGAACATAATTTTTTTAATTATTAAAAAAACTTACTATTAAAAGTAATTTGAAACAACTCAACAATGACAATAATAATAAATGAGGCTGCTATTTGTTCAGAGCTTCTGCTTACCCAGCTTATGCTAAGCACTTGATACATATTATTGTATTTATCACAACAACAGTCCTATGAAGTAGGTAATATTGTCCTCACTTTTTAGGTAATGAAACTGAGACTTATAGGTGTAATCAATCAATCGAGGTCCCATAGCTGGTAATGGTGAAGCTGGGATTCAAGCCCAGGCCCGTCTTTGCTCCAAAAGCCATCGCTCAATCTCTTGGCTATCCTACATACGGGACACGTGCGGTGCTCTATGGAGTTGCAGATGAACAACTAACTGAAAGAGCACTGCTGCGAAGCAGGGACAGACTGAGATGCAGAGCACACCCAAAGCATGACTCAGTGGCAGTACATCTGGGATTCGAGATGCGGGCTGGATTTTCTCTAATTTAAAGATATCAGATGCCACTTTATTAAGCTCTCTTTCTTAATAATAGCAAGTATACTTCATTTGGGATTAACATCAGCACAAGAGGGCCTCACAATCTAAATTGTGATTTTACTAGTTGAGAGAGATTTTTAAATGAATGATTTCAGGGTTATACTATTGCCTCTTGAAATGTGATGCTGGAAGACTTCTAAAAAAGGGCCTAAAGTCTGATGCAGACATGATGCATATATACCAAGAAAAAGGTCATGCTTCAAAAACTGCCTAAAAATTTCCATGTGCAGCTCAGCATTTCATAGCAGAGGTACATTCCCCCTCCCCCTCAAATCCTCACGCCCTCATGGGAATTTCCCCAATAGCAGAAGGTTTTATATTTTTTTCTTTATTAGATTTTCTATGGTGAGTAATGGCTACAGGATTCAGATTATTAGCCACATGGGACAAGCTCAATGAAGACAAGTGGCCTGAGCTGTGATGGCCAAAAGCTTGCCCTTGCCTATACTCTCATGATGACTCCTCTTTGGTCTCCCCAAGTCCCATCTCTCTTGCCTCTCTGAGAGCCTGCTTGCGTGAGTGTGTTTGGGGTCCTAGGAGGGACTCTTAAGAATTCATTTCCTGCTTTGGCAAAGTCCACTTCCTCAGCCTGTAGGTCTAGGGTCCTTACACATGTCTGTGCTTTCCCCTCTATATACCCACCAGAATGCATGTGCCTTGTAATCCTTTCCACAATCCTCCCTTTCTAACTTGTATGTGCTCATCTTCTTTAGACTTATCAATTCAGCAGGTCCCTAACAACGTTTCTTGGAACATTGCTGTTCTGTCTTAACTGCTTTCTCTTGTGGTTAGATGGTATTGAAGGCTAATTGGATTATTTAACCCTGAAAAACACATCCTGCTGTTCATAGCCTTACACAAAGAAGGTGGTACTGGTTCCTCTTCTACTGTATAACAAGGCCAGTGGTTATACCACATCCTTGGTTACATTGCAAGGAATGAGAACAAAGGTCTCTGCTTGAAACCCTGAGGTTGGCACTTTCCTAACACATTTGGTTCAGCTTTTAAACTAAGATTTAAAACACAGCACTCACGAGCTCTTCCACAGAAAATGATTTCTCAGGGTTGATGCTATTTTAGGAAGGTTTTAGATAAGGCACTCGACTTGAATCTGAAGCCTACTATCTTGTTATTTTTACAGGCTTTCGGTATCATTTTAGAAATCTCAATGAAAGGAGTAAGAAAACAGTTTTAGAAAGAAGCCAGGTGGCTTTGCAAATATAATCTGAGTAATAGCAGGAATGGAAGGCATGGTGTTTGGAATGTTAGACTCCCACACAACATGGGTTGGGGCAGTCACAAGAGTCTGATCCACTCACAGACTGGTAACCGTTAATAGAGGCAGTAGAGAAGGAACCAGTACCTGGGAAAGAATGACAATAGCCTCAATCAGTTTGTTGTTGATGTTGCTGCTTTCATTGAGCCTTTTTTTGAGTATACTATCATTACAAATGTGCAGTTGGGATAACAATGCTTCAGGGATTTTGAAGGACTCTTAAAAATTCTCCAAATATTATCCCAATAAATAATGCAAGGCTTTTCAAAAAGAACCATTACCTACATACATCTTAGTTTTCTTGTCCAGAGAGATGTACTCTTGGATGAGCACTCCAGCTCTTCTAGAGTCCAATAGGTGACAGCAGCAGGACAGGAGAAGCAAACCTTCTCAGGAATGCTTCTCAGGTCTCTAAGGTTGCTTACTCAACCTTATTGACATATTATTTTCCTAGAGAGAGTGTTTAAGTTAAAGGGCCCAATAACTGTGAAATATAAAAATAATTCTTTTTATCTCTAGCCAGTGTGCATTATACAAGACTTTTCTCTCTTCCCTACCCTAAAACAACTCTTGTCATGCAGAAGTCCTGACTTACCTGTCCCCGTTCTCATCCTGCACTGCAGTAAGATGGCGCTGGACGGCCAGCAGCATCTTCACGTCCCCTGTCACTGCGTAGTCGAAAAGGGCGTTGGCATGCCGCTTGGCAAGCTGCATTGCCTTCTCTAGAAAGAGGTTATCTGCAAGGCAATGACCACAATCAGAGCGGAGCTTCCTACATTCGCTCTACAGGTATGGCATGCCTGAGGCCAAAACCACCAGCATCAGGGTTCTGATACCTCAACACATACCATTTTAGTTGAAAATGCTCCTTTCAGTGATTCTGGACTGTGTTCACTAGAAAAAGCACAATTCAACATTGCCTCACTGACAAATATGTTAGAGAATGGTCTAAAAACCCATCTATGGTTTATCAGGGAGAAAAATGTTCAGAAATATTTGTTATTTTAAGGGGAACAATTAATCTCCAAACAATGTTGATTGGATTTTGCCATAATTTTAAATAAGTGATCTCTTGATGAAATAATCCTTCATTGGAACTGTTACTATCTCATTAAGCAATGTGTCAAGAAAAAACACATCTCTGCCATAAACAGACAGACTTTCAATGATCCATTAGTGTTTTTGTTAAGATAGCTCCTTTAACATCAGGGGATGGCATACTGTGATTTCTGGGCCAAAACCCATGTATAGCCTGTTTTTATATGACTTCCCAGCTAAGCAGTTTGTACATTTTTTTTTTTTTTCCTTTTGGTC